TAGATAGATAGATAGATAGATAGATAGATAGATACAAAATATACAATTTCACAAATACAAATATTTTATTCACAGCATTTAGTTTAGAAGCAATAATCATATACGATATACTGCAATTGCCTACACTTAAATAACAAGTGGGACCTTTTTGTCAGTGTACATGTATACGAGTAAATATATTCTGTAGTAGAGGAGTAGATTAGGCCTCACCTTTTGCACGCACGTGGACTTGCATCCCAGCACAGACATTGAGGAGTCAGTTTGCGAGAAGCCGTGTAAGAAAACATTGTCGGTATCCCCAACTTCTATGCAGCCTTTAAATCCTTCAAGTATACCATCGGGCTCTTTGTGATCTGTCAAAGAATGGAAGTTCATTCCGTTAACATTAACGATTGTATTTCACCGAGAATATTGATGTTACTGACCATGAAGATCAGACGTTTCTATGACGTAGTAAGTTCCAAAGATCGATATTCTTTTGATCTGTGATCGTCCGCCAATAATTTTTTTAGAGATTTGCTATATTTGTAATGGTGAACGACGACTACAAAAGAAATCTATTTGAACAACATTGCTTATATCCGACCTACGTCATTTTGACCTCAAAGAAAGAAGTGCTTCGTCGCTATACACATATACACTATATATGTGGCTTCTTTGTGGCTGAAATTTTCAGAAGTTATTACTTGACTCGTAGTGGCAATACACATCGGTCGATATGACCACCGTACTGCCTTTGTACATACTTTGCGGTGTAGAACATCCTTATTAAGCTGATCGGAAAAGCAAGGTGTGGCTTTAATAACTATTTTGTTACTAAATTGCGTATTTGCGGCAATCAAATAGGGGAATGACTACGCGGTCACGAAACCCACATCCACGACTTTATGAACGAAATAGCGCCCCCTCGAAGTTCTAGTAAGTTGTTATTACCTTCTTTTTTATTTATGATCTTTGAATTTTCTGGTTGATCTTTAGTAATGTGGTAAACTGACAAATAAAGCTGACCGCCGCACATCTGCTGCGGGTCCCCCGAGCACTTCATGTTGCAACCATTCTCGTTAACACGCGCCGGACGCAGTGTACTGGAACACCAGCACTCGACACTGTACTGAAGGCCAATATAGACTAATCCCCTGAGAAGAGAAAAGAAATAGTTGAAATTTAATATTTCATATTTTCAAATAATACCGGACTATGCGAGGTGTAGACGCTCTCGGGCACTGAAAAGGTTATAGACTTATCACATGTTTTGTTAATGCTTTAACTGACGCTCACGTGGTTACGATTGTTTTCACATCAGTCAACGTATTTCAAGTGTCAGTGTTGAATGTATTGCAGATATTTGGGTTTCCCAGCCCAACAGTATCATGTGAATTGTCATCGTAGAACTATACACATCGTGTTTTATATTCATCACAGTGTACGTAAACCATGAATATTATTAAATATTAAAAGATTAATAAAAACGAAGCGAAAATTGTTTCTGTGAAATTGAGAAGACGGGATATAAACAGCAAGTATTGACAAAGACATATAAACCATGACAACGACACGATACGACAAAGGTTTGAAAAACTGAACACCGAATAGACGAGGAATCATTCACAGCAGCGACTGAAACGATACTAGAATGAAATACAACGTTCCAAGATAAAACAAAATAGAACCGGGGCGAAAAGGACTTGGTGTAGACTTGATCCCTTGATGTCGATATAGCACATGTATTTTTGATGACGTAGACATAAATAGCAGAAAATCGGACGTAAATGTTTGACATTTTGTGCTTTGTGTACATACACAGTGACATTATTGAGACAGACTAAAGAAGAGGTGTGGATGACGCATGTAGAGAGACCGAGTCGCGTTATGATCTGCTCAACGGAAAATGTCATTCGGAACGGCGTGACTTAATGTGTGATGGTGTCAGTTTAAATCACATTGCCAATACAGACTAGACGGGATTGTGGATCAATGATGAAATAGAAACGTCACGGTGTCAAGCACGTTTTTTTTCTTTATTTGTCAGCTTTGAATTCAACGCAGAGTCAAGTGGTTTGTAGACGAGTTTCTATGAATTACTGTATCAGGTATCTTGATTCGAATGGAGTGGATTCGTCGCCGAGAGTGGAATTTAAGACTGTGACTGCACGGATTAACATTAATCCAACGATCATCTCTTAACATCTACCGCGGGCACTTGCAACACTTTGAATAGAAAGTGACGCCCATCACAAAGGATTCCGCTCACCTTCCACTGATGTAGAACCACCGTCATCAACCCACACAAAGACTTCGCGATCGGGTTAAAGCGGGAAGGTCGTTACCTGCGTACGCGCGGGAATTGAGTCCCAAGCGACGATAACAACTCGCACTAAAAACGCAAAGGCTCATGGGTAGACGCTTGTTTGAAAACAATGACACGCTATGGCCATCTGACGCATGCGCATGTGACGGCTCCTACGCTTTAACCCAAATAACTCAAAATCAGGTAGATTTCGCCCATCAGTGATGACGCATTAATAACGACAATCTGTCAGTAGTGGGGGATCAGAAACCATGTCAACTTCAGATTCGGATTTAAAGCAACAGAAACGAATTATACATAAACACTATGGGGAGCATTTTGAAGTATGATTCATGATAATATATAGTCGACATCAAAGGAGACAGTTTTATTCCACCGAGGGTCTATTCTTAGAAATGATGGTATCAATAACAACAAGTCATTGTCAATGACACGTCCCCGTTCCGTTCATATTTGAGTGACATATACATTCAAAGCAGATCATGACCGAAATGCACCTGCATATGTACAACACATTGTGCTAAATCTGAACAAAATCCATCCATGCATGACTGAGATCCGGTTCTGGAATTGTGAAAATACGTGATTTTGATGCATTTTCGGCCTTAAAATGGCCATCATTTCGCTATTGTTAAGCAGATCATGAAACAAAGGCACATATCTATTTGTGACATGATGTACCATGTGTGTGTGAAGTTTGAACTTGATCAATCCAGACATGTCTTGGATACGGATCCAGAACTGAATTCTTTAACAAAATGGCAGCCAGTCGGCCATTTCGAACTTGATCCGAAAAAAAAAAAGACGTGCATCAAGGTCCTATTATGTTTAATGTATGTACCAAATTTGAACAAAATCCATCCATGCATAACTGAGATACGGGTCCGGAATGGTGAAAATGTGCGATTTCAATGCATTTTCGGCCTTAAAGCGGCCGCCATTTGGCTATCGTTAATGAGATCATGAAACAAATACACATACATATTTGTGACATGATGTACCTTGTGTGTGTGAAGTTTGAACTTGATCAATCCAGACATGTCTCGGATACGGATCCAGAACTGAATTCTTTAAAACAAAATGGCCGCCAGTCGGCTATTTCGAACTTGATCCGAAAAAAAAAATGACGTGCATCAAGGTCCTATTATGTTTAATGTATGTACCAAATTTGAACAAAATCCGTCCATGCATAACTGAGATCCGGGTCCGGAATGGTGAAAATGTGCGATTTTGATGCATTTTCGGCCTTAAAATGGCCGCTATTCGGCTATCGTTAATCGGATCATGAAAAAAATGCATGTGCATATGTCCCATATAATGTGTGATGTATGAGTGAAGTTTGAACTCAATCGGTCCATGCATGTTCGAGATACAGGTGATCACGGACGCACGGACGCACGGAAGCACGGACGCACGGACGCACGGACGGACGGACGCACACAGGGCAAAACATAAGTCCCCGTTTTCGGACTGCGTCCGAACGGGGACTAATAAGTCTTGTTAGAATTGCGTTTACATGTGATTAAAGCGAGACACAGTCAGCATTGATTAATCGTCACAATTATACAAACAACAAAAATAAATTAATGCTAATACATATCGTGAAATTGGTCTATCCTGGTTTCCACTTATCAATTACTGGACTTTGAAAATCGAGTAGCGACGGAGCTCTACAATTCAACATCACGTGACGTCCGATACAGAAGGACGCGCGTGAATTCTTAGCAGGAAGCCGGTAATTTCTTGATACGCCTTCTCCTTCCTGCGTTTCTTGACAGGTTTTGAATTGAACATTTAAGTGAATTGTATTTCTTTATAAATAAATTTATTAAACAGGCCATGCATTCAACCATTTTAACAGTTATAAAAAAACGTTTACTTTGCCATGATGGGGGGGGGGGTAGGTCAAGAAGTTAGAAAACAGTCGAGTGTTTTTGATGTCAAATATCTAACATAATAAGCGACTCTATTCATTATCAATTAAAGCGGGGGAGTCGTCACCTGCGCATGCGTCAGATG